ACCAGTTCCAGTTACTAGGAAAGGTAACTGGTCACCAGTTCCAGTTACTAGGAAAGGTAACTGGTCACCAGTTCCAGTTACTAGGAAAGGTAACTGGTCACCAGTTCCAGTTACTAGGAAAGGTAACGGGTCACCAGTTCCAGTTACTAGGAACGGTAACTGGAACTGTCCCACCTCTACTTTCACCCTCACCCTGGATACCTAGATATTTAGAGATTTGACTGTTGAAAGATATACTGAACAGTTACCGTTACTTATAACTGGTCGTTATCGTTACTTGTACGGTAATTGCTTACCCGTTACCGTTACCAAGAACGTCAACTGTTCAGCAGTTACAGTTATCGGGTAACGGTAACTGGTAACTGTCACAGTCCTAGTCATTCATCTTTTTCACTAAAGATGATCAGTTCTCATTAAGAACCGGAACCGCGGTTCTCTTACTTTCGCTTCTTCATCGGTAATCGGAACTGGCAGTGCGGTTCTTGGAGAATGAAGAATTTTTGACTTGCCTTTCTTTTAACAAAATGAAAACACACTGTTGACAAAGCTACAAGAAGACATATTTGCCTGTCATCATTTTAAGAGAATCATTTCGTTCACAAGAAAATGAATTCTATTTCGTAGAATTGTTACTGCCTGAAGAATTGTTTTCCGGTTCTAAGCTGAGAACTGAGAAACGCGATGCTATTATAAGTTCGAAACCGGAACCGCGGTTCCTTTCGTGTCGGTTCTAAGTCGAGAACCGGGATCGCGGTTCTATTTGATTCGATTTCGCATGAGGAATGGGAACCGCGGTTCGTTTCCTGAACCGAGAGCCGAACATTCCTATTCATCACTCAAGTTCTGGCTGCTGACATGTTATGTTCTATATCATCTTTGCAGTACAAGTTTCACAAAAAAAGTTTTGGGCGATTTTAAACTACGGCTGCACTGTAAGGAAACTGTATACTGATTGAGATACATTTTTATATTGCAACTGGGATATACAGCCCGATCAGGATATATATCCCGATTGGGATACGCTTACTCACTGTCATGTTGCTTATGCACGTTTTGCAAAGTAATGATTCTGAAGATTGAAAAATTGTTTGACAGTTAAACATCTATTCTCTTCGCGTCAAATTAAATTCAGTATATTCAATATGGTTTTAAGTGAGAACTGAGTGGCTGTCTTATCATCTTGCCCTCTTCACCACTCCTACGTTTTCTTTCTGTTTTTAAATGTTCTTAAAGCGGAAGACTTTGTTCTTATTATATTGTTTCTTTTTCGGTCTTCAACTTCGCAAAAGGAAATGTTACATTTTAGAATAGAATATGGGAGTCTTGATAGAAGGTATTCGACGTAGATACTATAAAATTATATATATATATACATATATACATAAGTTACTTATATATAGAATAATATCGATTTTAACTTGTAAGTAGAAGAAAACAACAACTTGCGTCGACTTTATTTGTTACGAAAAATAAATTATAATATTGTTTGTAATCGTATTTGAATTGCTCGTGAATAATTTCAATCATGTTTATTGGTTTATTTATCGTTTGTATAGTGTTTTACATTGTTTACGAAAAGAAATTAGTTATCATATTACCTCAGACAGTATTCCAATGGTTTGGCTATAGTATTACAGCAACACATTCATTATATGTAACAATTGCTATTATATCATTCTTTTGTTTTTTACTGGGTACTCGTCGTGTATTAAAATGGCCAATATTTTTATTTATAATATCATTTGTTCTCGTTGAATTATTTCTTTACATATTATTGCGATATTTTATTCGTTTACTTGAATCAATATTTATTCGACCATCAACATTGAATAATGCTGAAAATTATGAAGAATGGTATGAATATGCTTTTGAAACTGATAAATTACATGGAAGAGAAATATGGAAAGCAAGTTCTGAATCAAAATATTATAATGAAAATTTAACTCGAACATTTACTGATGAACTGAAAACTTTTCGAGAATTGGGAGATATTGAAAAACTTATAAAATTATTACAAATATGTATTAATAAAAGTATGAATGGAATTCTTAATGAACGTTTATATTCAAAAAGCTTAGTTGGAACAAAATGTGTTATAGAAGAATACATTGAAGAGATTGTTACTAGTTTAAAGTATCTAACGGAACAAGCTCAATTACTCAAAGTCTACAAAACATATCCACCACACGTTTTATCATCACCAATTGATTATCCTATTACGGATACAAAAGCTGATGAAATGTATCATAGTGTTACAACAAATAAATCTGATGATATTTCGCCTTTATGAACTAGCTCTAGTGCAATACAGAGACTGACAAATACCAATATCAATAGTGATTAATCTGAACTACAAAGTTCATTTTCTGAACAAACTATCAATGTTTTAACTACTGATAACTCTTCTACAGGACTTCTATCACCTGAATTTGTATTACGAGCTTTAAAGGCTATGAAATCTCATTATGGCTCAACAGCACTATGTTTATCTGGTGGTGCTGGAATTGGTCACTATCATTGGGGAGTTGTAAAAGCACTCTTATCTTTCGGCTATTTACCTAAAATAATAAGTGGTACAAGTAGTGGAGCCATAGTAGTAGCTGTTGTTTGTACAAGATCAGATGATGAACATTACAAGCTGAAGTATTATTACCTCATTTGAATTGTTTTGATTCTTCTTGGATGGATCGAATTAAACGTTATTTTAAATATCGAGCTATGTTCGATCGAGATGTTTGGTTAGAAAAATTACAATGGTTTGCTGGAGCAGAGGAATTCGAAAAAGTTGGCTTAACTTTCAAAGAAGCATATGAAAAACTGATCGTATATTAAATATCACCACTACAAATGCACGAAAACATTTTCCACCACTTTGTCTCAATTATCTATCAACTCCAAATGTAACAATTGCTTCAGCTGTATTGGCTTCAGCAGCTGTACCTGGTTTAATTCAGCCAGTTCATTTAATTGAGAAAATAGTGAATAGACATGGTCAAATAAGTTATCGTCCTTTACATGGTGAACGATTAAAATTTCGAGATGGAAGTTTTGAAAATGATATACCGTTAAATACCTTGTCAGAAGTATTTGGATGTAGTTACTTTTTAGTCAGTCAAACAAATCCACATATTATTCGTTTCTTTTTTAATGCTCGTGGACAAGGTGGGCTACCATCAGGTTGGCGTTTACGCGGAGGAGCATATCGTGGAGGATTTTTATTAGCAGCCATTGAATTACTTTTGAAAGAAGATATGAAAAAAAATTTACGAGTATTGGGAATGTTAGATTTATTACCTGCTGTTCTTGAACAAGATTGGTCTTTCTTATTTTTACAAGAATTTCAAGGTCAAATAACTATGGTACCACACGCACGACTAATTGATTATTTTCGGTTGATTAGTGGTATTAAAGATATTAACGTGATTTCACACTATCTTCAAGAGGGGAAATTGACGACTTGGAGAAAGTTTAGCATGATTAAAAACAGAGAGAAAATTAGATTAACGTTAGAAGATTGTATACAAATATTAGAAAATAAAATATAAGCAGAGAAAAGATTTTACAACAGTATTTTGATAGCATATCAACAAGGGAGTAGATTCTCTCATATTTTTCGACAGCGAGTGACATTTTTTTGACAGAAAAACTGAAATTTCATAAAAAACGTTTTTATACAACTTATCAGTCTCTTTTTGCTGCTATTTTTCGCTGAATTGTAAGAAATTAAAGAAGAAGTTAAGAAATGCGTAATTTCTACGTGGGTGTATGAAGAGTATCGAATATATGTTCTAACATTTTCTTTGTATGATTACATGACTTGTCACGTCTACTTTTAGACCTGCACAGCACTGAAATGCCACATAGCAAATCTGGCCAATTTTCAACGAGATGGTAGTGTTAGACTGCATTCACATAGTACGTCAATGTTTCTTTCTTTTCTGTGCTATAGACAAAAGAGAAAAAAATAGAAAAATATACGACGGTAAAAAACAATTTCGTTCTCGTGTATGCATAAACGATAAAAAACAAGAAAAGACGTTCGAGAAAAATTTGTTTCCGTCTCTTGTAAATAAAGAAGGGAGAACATTACGCATTCACGATGAAAAACGTTTCAGTAATGTTTTTCGCATCCGTTAGCCTCGCGTCCCTGACTCATTAAGTATTTTTCATTAGTCAGACAGAACATGAGAACAGCGAAATAATATCCTTAGAGAACTAAAACAAAAATAACTGAACGAATGGAGGATGGAACACACGGATTTCCGAGGACTTCAGCCATATAATATATATGGCTTACATAGTTTCAGAGTATCATAGTATCAAAGTATGACTCTCATAGTTTCCTAGTTTCACAGTACGATATTATCATAGTATTTCTTTCATAGTTTCATATTTTCACAGTATCATAGTATGACTTTCATAGTTTCACGGTATCATAGAATGACTTTCATAGTTTCATATTTTCACAGTATCATAGTATGCCTTTCATGGCTTCATAGTTTCACAGTATGGCTTACATAGTTTCATAGTATTCGGAATGCTGCTGTTTTACTTTAATGTCGAGCGTTTTGTTGTCTAGAGGATTTTGGAGATGTCGCTATCATTTATGATTGATTTGTTTAAAATGAGTCGCTGGGTTACAAGCTAGGCAGCCGAGGCAAAAAGTGAACAAGTATAAAGTTAACGTGTATGTTCGATGAAGCTACTGATATGTATAAAGTTTATTTATTGTTCTGAGGATTTTGTGTGTGTCATACATGATGGATTATTTGGTGTTTCCACAGTGTTCGAGGGTATTCGCGAATATGTCAATCCGTGGAAGCATCCATTTAGGAATGATGGTTTTGCGCGGACTATCAGAAGATACATTCATCGTTGGCGATTTGGGACGAGATACAGTTTCCATGACGTTTGGTTTTCTTGTGGCTATGCAGGTGGTTTTTTTAGGTGAAGTTGTCGGAGATTGCGTGGTAAATGATATTGTTGGCGCACTAGTTTTGTCCAATGTTGGCTGTGATGCTAAGTTCCTTTTTTGAACAGGCGTTTCGCGTGCTGATGTATGTAATGAAATGGTCTCAAAGAAAACCTGATTAAAATCTATTAGTATATATGCGAAATAGAACTGTTTACAGTGCCTGATCCAGTAACAATTCTGTTCGTGTTTTCAACATCACCTTCGTTTGTTGGAGACGCTCCTAATGCCGCAGCAAGTGATCGTTTTCCTCCAGACTGTAAATATATTTAGATCATATTTTCTTTTCCAGGCAGATATGTGATAAGCTTACTTCTCCAACCAATGTGGACAGATACTGCGCAAGTGGAACTTTTAAAGAAAATAATTTTTTGTCTAATTCCAATAAAGCATTACCATCAGTTAAATCGACAGAAAGTTTAGGAAATATTATAGTCGGTGGTCCACGAGTATTTCAAATTGATTCAACCTTTCCTAAGCATGAAAAGAACTGGTTAGCACAAGGCAATCAGGTAACCTTTAGCTGAGACGTTACCTAGTCCAGCTTTTTCCAATTCATTAAAAGCTGAAGAGTATGTAGCACTTGGGTATTTCCTTCTTGTCACTAAAGCATGAAGAGAGACATCTGCACCTAAAGTCATTAATATAGTAGACATGGCATCGGTTAATCCATGTTTTTCAGAATTGATCCGCTCATTTTGCTGAACTTCACGATGAGAACCCAGAACAAATTCTGTAATCCCTTCAAGATCTGCTACGGTTGAGTAACCACATAAAGCTTTTTCCTGCGCTATGAAATAGTCCATTAATGCAATAGCACTTTCAGCTGTTTCTTTTTGAATAATAAAAGCACCATCATCTTGTGCAAGATATTTTACTGCATCTGTTATAGCAGTACGAACATCATTTGAAAATTCATCATAAGAAATTTGTCTAACTGATTCGTCAATGCCCATTACTTGAACATTTCCTAAAAGGATCGCTAAAGCTATGATATTAACATTAATTCCTTTGGTACAAGGGATATATTGCGTCATAAAGCTAAACCCTAAAGTTTAGGAGGATATTAACTAAAGTAAAACCTTATTTCTTTTAAAAAACATCTTCTTTTGGCTTGGCTAGTAAACAATCCTTTAAGTACTAGATATAAATTTACTCTAAAACTGAAGATGTCGGAACTCGTAATTTATCTGAAATTCTGCTTTCAGCAACTTGTAAAGTTTTAATTCTGTTTAATAAAATATTTGTGTTCAGAATCCTTCGAAAATCATCGAAACTAAAACCTTTTAAAGTTCAGATATCTCGGTGCAGACTGACGATAAAATTTTCGAGGGAAGAGCGTCGAATAGAGTTTATCGTTAAACTTGTGAGAAAGGTGTAAAATCCAAATTTTGAACAATCAAATATTGATCATGCCAAAAACCTACGTAAAGTGTTGCTGCAATTTTTATTTGACATTACCAGACACATACAGCCTTCTGCTATGTCATCTGAAATGACTGACCGAAGACTAAATTGTTCTGTGTGCAGTTTCAAACTGCACTCTAAAAGCTTGGATTTTATAGATTTCTCAAAACTCGTTCAAAAAAACGCATTTCGTTTTCATTTCAAATTGTAACATGTCAGTTGGGTGATTGTTTGCAACTTAAGGACGATTTTCGAAGGATACTGAACACAAATATTTTATTAAACAGAATTTCAACTTTATAAGTTGCTGAAAGCAGAATTTCAGATATATTATGAGTTCCAGAAATCTTCAGTTTTAGAGTTAACTTGCATCTCGTACTTAAAGAATTTTTTAATAACCAAAGGAAGATGTTTCCAAACAAATCAGCATCTAACTGAGTTAAAATATACTTGATATTTGTAATAAGATAGCGTATACCAGGGCTGAGCTAGTTCGAGCCATGTTCAAGTTATGAAGGTAGCACACCGGACTCGAGTCCTTCATTTATCTTAAAAGTGGAATCGATCGGACTTGAAATACAAAAAACACCAATTCCAGTCCAAGTCTTTCCAAAAAAACTCCAGTTCAAGTCCAAGTTCGACTCCACTAAAAAATCTTTCAATCCGGACTCGCCTAGCCCTGGCCTATACTAACTTTTTCGTGACTTCCAATCTATCAAGGTACGTCCAACAGCCCGCTTTCCCGGTTTTCTTTTTTATATAAGTCAACTTATTTATAACTCTCACTAAACTGTCAAAAACATAAAATGTCTCAAAACCGTTTCCGCTTGCTATAGACTTTAATGTATTACCAGACACATCGCTCACTCTCACCCACCCGGGCGCGGGCGGGCGCGGCCGGGGGGGG